TACCCCTGAGACACCCAGTCTGTAAGGGAAATGCTTCCATCAAGTTGGATGAATCCCCTATGGAGAGGTTAATGGAAAATATTTATCACAAAGCACACAGGTTCTACCACACTCCTTTTGGAGAAAGAAGATAAAGACTGGACCTGTGATGTAATTGTATAAGGGGATGCCAAGACAAGGAAACTCCCTCTACCAGTGCAGGTTGGCACCTCTGTAACTTACAGTCTTAGATGGTTGCCCAGAGCATTGAGAAGTTAAGTAACTTGCCCAGGATCACATATTCAATGTCTGCATGAAGACTTAAACCCAGACCTTCCTGGCTCCAAGGCAGGCTCCATAGCCAGCACACCATGTTGTCTCTCTACCAAATTTCTTTTAAGAGACAAATAAAACCTTAATATCTAAACCCAGGAAGAAAGCAAATAAAAAGAGCTATAGGATAATATTGTTAATGAGAAATATTTAGGAGGTAAGCATGGTTTGACATTTGAAAATCAATTAAAAATCATACTAAAAAGCAAAAACACTCAAAAACATCAATAAGTGCAGAAAAAAAGCCATTGACAAAGTACAACACTTATTTATGCTAAAACCCTACAAAGCATAGCCATAAAAAGAGCCATTTTATAATGATTAAAAAATTTCTATAAAACCCCCCCCAAAACTAGCATTTATATGCAACAATGAAACATTAGCTTTCCTTATACATAAGAGTAAAATAAGGATGTTCTTTTCCCCACTATTATCTGACAGTTCTAGAAATACTAGCGGTAACAATAACACAAGAGAAAAATTAAAAATAAAAGGATAAAAAGACAAATAGGCAACAAAACTATCCCTATTTGCTGATGACATAAAGGTGCAAAATGAAGAAGCACTTAAAAAATTCTAGGGAATTAGCAGAGAAACTAATTTAAACAATCACTGCAGCAAAGTAGCAGGAGACAAAATAAATCTATTATAATCCACATTTTTGTATAGCAATGACAAAAACCACAAGAGAAAGAGAAGTCACATTCAAAATAAATACAAAATGCATAAAATATCAGGGAACCAATATACCAAATCACTCAATACCAGTATAGAAATAATTACAAAATGTAACTTAATTAAAGAAATAAATAACACCTTAACTGAAGGTATAAACAGTGCTCACAGCTGAAATATGCCAATGTAATAAAAATGGCACTACTATCTAAGCTAATTTAGCTTAAGTACTATAACAAATTACAGAGGAAGTATTCTACAGTTAGATAAAATAAAAACAAAATCTATTTAAAAGAACAAAATATCTAGATTAAGAGAAATAATGAAAAAAGTAGGATTGAAGGGAGAGTAGCACTCAGACTATATTTTAAACAGCAATCATCAAAAATATCTGCTACTAGCTTAAAAAAATTTGCTAACAGATCACCGGAATAGACAACGAGTCAGAAATAACTGAACACAATAACCTAGCGTACAATAAACCCAAAATCATAAATAACAAGAAAGAACTCTACGTTGCTAATAATTTCTGGGAAAACTCGCCGAAACCAAGTTTAGACCAACATCTTACAACGATAAACTCAAAATGGATACATGACTTAGATATTAAAGATTATACCATTCAAAAAAGGAGAGAGAGATCAAGTACCTTTCACAATTAAGGCTATGGGCTAAATTCTAAACCAAACCAAACCAAAGGGATAGACATAATGACACAAGATAAAATAGCTAATTGTGATTACATAAAATTGAAAAGCTCTTGCATAAACAAAATTAATGCAGCTAGGGTAAGAAGGGATGCCATCAATTGGGCAAAAAACTTTTGTATCAAATATCTCTGATGAGGGTCTGGTATATAAGATATATAGACAACTAACAGAAATATACAAGACCAAAATCTATCCTTCAATAGATAAATGAAGGATATGAACAATGCTCAAAAGAACTGCAAACTATTAACAACTACACAAAACAATTATTCAAATCACCAATAAGAGAAACGTGAATCAAAATAAATCCGTGGTTTAACTTCACAGCCAGCAAATTGGCAAAGATGAGTCAGTCAATAAGCATGTATTAAGTACCTACTACGTGCCAGGCACTGTACTAAGTGCTAGGAATACAAAAAAGGCAAAAGACTGCCTGCCCTCAAAGAGTTTACAATCAAATGGGGGAGACAAGCAAATATGTACTGAAAAACTATATACAGAAAAAAAAATAGTAAAAAAGAGAGGGTAGACACTAGAATTAAGAGAGGTTGAAAAAGGTTTCCTGTGAAACATGGGATTTTAGTTGGAACTTAACTGAAGCCAGGGAAATCAGGAAGTACACAGGAAGTAGGGAGTAACTGGAATTTATTGAGTGAAGCGGTGACATGATCAGGCCTGTGCTTTAGGAAAATCACTTTAGTGGCTGAATGGAGAATGGCTTGGCGTGGGAAGAGATTTGAGGCAGGCAAGACCCACTAGCAGCTATTGCAATAATCAGGTATAAGGTGACGAGGGCCAGCACTAGTGTGGGGGCCACGTCAGAGAAAGGGGCATACTCGAGAGAGGCTGCAGAGGTGACATAGACGGGTCTTGGCACCATACTGAATATGGAGGTGGAGAGGAATTGAGAAGTCCAGGATGACTCCTAGGTTGTGAGCCTGAGGGCCTGGGAGAATTGGTGGTGCCCTCTACAGTTACAGGGATGGTAGAAGGTAGGGAGGGTTAAGGTGGAAAGGGAATGAATTCTGTTTCGGTCATGTTGAGCTGATTAATATTACTGAACTTCCAAATTAAAATGTCTGAAAGGCAGTAATGGCAAGGAGATGCAAGATGGGAGATCAACTTAGAGGCTGGGACAGAAAAGTTCCTTTGACAGTGGGCAGCATAGAGATGGTCATTAAATCCATGGGAGCTGATGAGATCACCAAGCAGACTACAAAGAGAAGAGGTGCCAGAACAGAATCCCAAGAGACAATGACAAGGAGGTTCTATAACATATAGTATAAAGATGTCATTGGCAAAAAGAAAGGTTTCACATAAACCAAATATTCACAGCACTTTTTGTAGTCACAAAGAACTGGAAACAAACTTGAGTTTCATATCCATTGATTGGGGAATAGCTAAACAAATTGGGGTCCATGAAATACCGTGGTGCTATAAGAAAATGTGTAGGGAAGATGTCCCTTCAATGCAGATGTGACCACCTCATTCCCCATAATGCCAACACCAGTAGCTTTTTATTGCCTCCAGAATAAAATTTACATTCCTGTTTCTCTCAAAGCCTTTTACAACCTTGCCCCAAACTCTTCCCACACTCTGCGGTTCACCCAAACCAGCATTCCCTCCTATCCGCCAGCCTTTGCAAGAACTATCCCTTCTCCAGACTGTCCTTCCTCCTTCGTCCTCACCTTCCTACAAGACGCAACACCTTCTACCTGAAGATTTTCCTGATGCCCTCAACTGCTAGTGTCCTCAAACTACTACTTTGAATTTATTCTCTTAATACGTATTCTGTATCTCCTTACTTCTCTCATTGGCATATACACTGAGAGTTCAGGGTTTCCTTCATCTCAGATGCTCCCCTAGCGATCTAGCAGTGCCTGTGGCAGATAGGTGACAGCGCCATAATGCAGAGAGAGCCAGGCCTGGAGTCAGGAAGACTCATCTTGAATTCAAATCTGGCCTCAGTTACTGTGTGACCCTGACCAAGTCACTTACCTGTTTGCTTCAGTTTCGTCATGTCAAACAAACTGGAGAAGAAAACGGCAAACCACTCCAGTATCTTTGCCAAGGTAACCTCAAATGGGTTCAGAGCTAACTCAACATCTTGTACGTCTGTTAAACATTTTCCAATTAATTTTAATCTGCCTCTGGCTCCATTTGGTCTGCTGGGAGTTCTCACACACCTGCTCTAGAACAATTGTTGCCACAGTCTTGACGACAGTATAGTCTCTTTACTGGTCTCCATTGCTAAAAAGGCCTTTCCCCCCTTCCCAGTTGGTTTCATTATCCGGAACTCATTCCTCAACACCACCCCCAACACAACTCCTAAAATCCCAGGCCTTCTCCACAACAGCTCAAATGCCAACTCCAGCAGACCTCTCCTGATCTCAGCGTTAATGCTCTTAAAATTATTTTGCACAATATTGGATCCACTCATTTGTCTATATTCGTACACATTGGAATACAAATCTTGAAAAGCAGGGATATTTTTGTCTAAACCCAATGCCAAGCACATAACAGGCTTCTGTCCTATGACTAGCTGTTCAGTCACATCTCCCTTCTGACCCCTTGGGGGATTTTCTTGGCAGATAGTAGAGTGTTTTGCCATTTCCTTCTCCAGCCCATTTTATAGATGAGGAAACGGAGGCAAACAGGGTAAAGCAACTCATCACACAGCTAGCAAGGGTCCAAGTCCAGATTTCAATTCAGATGATGTCTTCTGAACTCTGGACCTGGCGCTTCCTCCACTGTACCACACTAGCATACGCTAGGTAATTAATATTAAAGATCTGACTGTCTGAAGGGGATTTTGAGACAGTTCATTATAACCAGACACTTTGAACAGATCATTATTTAATCTTACTTATTTAAAGCTACCACTTTACCCATCTCAAATGTGAAAAACACGCAATCGCACACCTGCATCATTCAACAGCACAACCTGCTTTTCTTTGCTCACTAGTTAAGTAGTCCACTCCAGTCAGGCAACTGCCTGAAAAACTCAGCAACGTCAAGAGCCTCAGCTGTCCATCCACCTCCATCCAGCCCTCCTCAGGATGAACATACCCACACCATGGGCGAATATGTCCTTTCTACGTTGGATAAGCTAGGATCATAAATTTAGAGCTAGAAGCGCCCTCGTCTTAAGGATGAGGAAACTGGGCCAATGAGTAAGTTATGCACCCAGGGTCACACAGCTGCGAGGCGGCAGAACTGTCATCTGAACTGATGTGACAAGGGCTGGCTCTCCATCACATGAGATTAAACTCCAACTCAACAAAGAACCATCGCGACACTAGGTGTGTAGCAAAACCTTTATTTGATTTCTGGCAGCCTCTCATTTTTTGGCCTTTGGAGCAGCTGTTTTCTGGGCAGGTCCTTTCTGGGCAGGTCCCTTCTGGGCGGGTCCTTTCTTGGCTGGGGCCTTCTGGCCAGAGGCTTTCTGACCCTTCTGAGCCTTCTGGCCCGGGGCGGCCTTCTGACCCTCAGCCTTCTTTGAGGGGACCTTCTTGGCGGAAACCTTTGCGGCCAGCGCCTTCTGGGCAGCCCCCTTCTTGGGAGACCCCTTCTGGGTAGACGCCTTTTGGAGCTTCTTTACTTCATGCTTGATAATTCGGTTTCTCTGAAATAGTTTTACAACAGGACAGAAATCACTGCTTGCTCAATGTTTTCTGAGCCCCCATTTACACACCCAAATGTCCTCGGCTCATCTACCTTACATGTACAGGAAAGGCTCAAAGGCAGGAAGGATCCTGTTAAGTCCCGACTGTGTTAAGACCAGCAAAGATTATGCCAGGTGATCCACTTTAGAGTCAGGATGTAAACAAAACCAAGGCAGCAAGGTCCAATTCCCAACTGAGGGTGCACTTATAACAAGCAACAGTTGAGCTCTCCAAGGTCTTCACAAGAAAGAATGTTACTTAATGATAAGAAATGTGAGGAAAGGAATTCTTGGAATAAATCTGCCATCACGTGAATACAGTCACTGGGCCACAAGGACTTCTGAACGTGCAATTCGGTAACATTTTAAAAGGCAGACCTAGTTCTCTTCCAGAAGCCCAGACCTACACCCATCTAAATGCCATGAGTTGTTAAGAAACAGCCAATGGCAGCCCCAGTTTGTGAAGATCAGGTAGCTTGGTTACCTTAGAGCATGTGGAAAGGTTGTGCACTGACATCCCTGACAGAGCTATTACTTTAAGAACATAAAAAACTTATCACTTACCATTTTCTTGGCCTTCATGACTTTGTAACGGTCAAAATCTGTCATCTTAGCTTTCTGTTGAGAAAATAAAAAATTAATTTTTCTACACCTCTAAGATGTTAGGAGAACTCTTGAAGCCCCTCACCCAACACCCAATCAATACCCTTTCTCTGGCTTCAATCTTCTTGGCCCATCTTGTGGCTTTCCATTTTGTATTGATCTTTTCTTTCTCCCAAGCAGCCCGGACATACTTCTGACGAGCACTAGAAAGAGAAGACAAAATTAATCAATATTCCAGATTTCTTGTACTTGAACTTATATTAAACTATTACTAGCCCTGATGCTGCAGAGCTCTTTAGCAACAGATATTCTTTTTAAAAACTATCTTCAGGCTAATTGGTCCTTCACTGTGGCTTAGTCACTCAACACCGACTAAGTATCATTTTATACAGCAAACCCAGAATCAAGAGAGTTAACTTTTAAAAACAAGTCCTTCCTGCTCAAAGGAGATGCAAGGTCCATCAACACCCCTGAGCAGGCCCCTCAGAGCCAGACCGAGAAGACAATGACAGAGTTCTCCCCGTACAGGAGGCCATGAATCCTCTGCTGGCTCTTCAATGAGTACCTTCACTAGCCTTGTATATACCCTGTGCCTAGTAGTGTCACACACATACACACAATCTTGCACACGCACAAGCGGCTTGATCAACCAGCTGACAAATGGCAACATGGCCTGGGGCTTCTGACCAAGCTAAAATCAGGGTTACAACTAAGTGTCATCTCAGTGACACTTTTATGAAAGCATTTAATCTGGGAGGTATGGCCAGTGAAATGCTGTCTTCTGAACTAGACACATAAGCAGAAGGAAAATTGTGTGCTGTTGTTCAGGCAAAACTCAAGCAAAGTAACCACTCAAAGAATGCAGCCAAGCCAAGCAGAAAGGAGCCCTGGGTCTGGGGGTCTGGACACTTGAATTTGAATCCAGCCTGTGTGCCCCTAGGTAACTCACTCTCCCCTCTTCCTGGTCCAGTTTCTTCAGCTATAAAATGAAAGGACAATCTTAAAATGATCTTATTCTAGCAACTATAATCCCATGAAGAATCCCAGGCAGGGGCAGTGAAGACTCCCAATCAGTGGACTGCCCAGCTGCCAGGCATCCACTCTAATTTTGTTACTGAAGATCTAAAGACCCTTCCTAAGGGTGTGCAGCACTGTATTTGCGGTACCAGGCCAGTTGCTTTTGGGTAAAGATGACACATGGAGAAAGTGGGGTATCACAATGAAACAAACAAAATACAAGAGGCAAGGGTTATGACTGCCCACATAAATCTGGCCAGTGCATGTCAGTTAAGACTGTAATCTCTCAGAGCCCTAAATAATCATCACATGCATCTCCAGCATATGCTTTTCTTAATGTCTTATGGTCTTTCAGAAAGTGACCAAACATCAGCTAAGAAAAGGAACCCAATACACTGCAGTGTTACAGTGGCAAAAGAAAAATCCATAAACAAACACCACCATTTACATCATTCAGTCTTAAGATAGTTAAATATGTACAGATATTACTGAAGAGAAAAACGAAATTTCCCCAAGTTCTTCTGAATTAAACAAACGGATAAATATTGTTTAAACAATGAAGAGAAAGTTACCTGTGTGGGAACTTGAGCACGAAGTCCGTAAGTTGCATACATTTAAATGGCATGGCCTGCCTCCTCACACCACTGCATGGGCCATCAACCAAAGCCTAAAACAGACAAGGGCAAGACCCAGTCACCCTCCAGTCCCATCTGTACAAGGCACAGGAATATCAGGGGGAAATGAAGCTCAAACTACGGTCCAATGACCACTGAAGCACTCCCTTTCCAAACAGCGCCCCACAAAGAATAGGAAACACAATGGAACTGTACAATTACAGGCACAGAACCATGGCTTCCATTTCTTCTGTGGTCTCCACAGCAGGGCCTCAACACTGGCTGAATGAGTTGGAAACAACATCCAATTCACTGGGAGAGTTTAAAAGGCCAAGGGGCACCATAATGAGCTTCTAGGTATAGTCAAGTCAGGTTATGCTGTGGATAATTCATACTTCCAAGCCCCCAACTGGCAGCTAAGTGTAGTCAACGAATGCTCTGCAGCACTGGCTAAAGTCTGACATCACTACAATGTTAACACTACCCCCCCAAATCACAAAAGCAGGGCAGAGTAAAAAAGAAATCCTCCTCTCATGACTTCCTTTTCCAGATCAGGCAAAATACTATTTACTCTCTATTACTTCACAAGCCCCAAATTTTAAACTAATAACAATATTTACAAAGCACTTACTGTGTGCCAGGCTATGCTAAGCATTTTACAGTTATCTTATTTGGTCCTCACAACACCCCTTCGATGCAGGTGCTATTATTCCCATTTCACAGATGAGCACTTATTATACTTATTCATCATTCCATTAAGTGCTGGAACAAACATTTTAAAAATGACAGTCTCCACTGTCAAGGATCTTCTAATCTGCTAGACAGATCGGTATAACACAAAATGGGGGTGACAAGAACAAAGCATCCCTTCAGATGAAAGTGGTCCAGGAAAATCAGAGGGTGAAAACACTGGGCTGGGGGGACCAAGGAGGGTTAAGGAGATGGCACCTAACCTGGGAGTTGAAGTTCTTGGAGATTTTGACAGAGAAATGAGATGCCAGAAGGCATGGGAATGCGTGTGGGAATGTAGTGGGGGACAGAAGGCTGAGTTGAGAAGTGGATAAAAGTAATATGAAATAAAGCTGGAAAGGTGGCACTGTGGAAACATTGATTCCAGATTATTTTTATCCTAAATGCAATGGGAAGATCTGAGAGTAGTAAACTGACCTGGTCAGATCTGTCTTTATAAAATACCAGGGTGAGAGACGACAAGGGTAGTGACATGGTGAGTCAGATCAGGATGGATGTATGGATGGGATTTGCCACCTCCTGTTTTATGGATTTGTATTCTACTCCAAAGCATGGCTCTGTGTATGATTTCTCTTCTCCACTAGATGCTAAATCCCTTTTACCTTTGTACCCTCCCTGCCTTGTACCAGAGAGACATATAAATACTGAATGATTAAGGATGGACTAAATTGCAGGCCTCATAATTCAAAATGTGTGGCACCTTAAGTCCTCAGCTCAGTGATACAGTATAGCAGATAAGTGTTGGATTTGGGATCAGTTCATTCAAATCTGGCCTCAGACACTGTCTCTGTAATATCCTGGGCAAGTCACTTACCCTGAATCTGTCTCAGTTTCCTGAAAAAAAAAATGGAGACAATAACAGCACCTACCTCAGAGGATGATTATGAGGATCAAATGAGGTAAGTTATGTAAGACACATGACAAAGTGTTAAAACGTATAACCTTCTGTGTATTCCCTACGGTATCCAACACAATAAAGGAGTGAATATTTCCTGATTATCACCTCTCCAAAGTAACATTGTGGTTAAAAACACTGTTGAGAAATCTTAAGTCTTTTACAGTATGGTAAAGACCTCAATTATAGTCCTAACTCAGGTTCATAAGCTGTGTGACTTTAGGTACATCTCTTACCCTCTCTGAGCCTGTTTCTTTCTGGGGGCATGGAGGACAGGAAAGGTGGCTTAAAAGTCAGGAAGACCCCCAGTTAAAGTTGTGTCTGTTGTACAACTATGGATAAAACAGTGAGTGCACATCAATGCTCTAAGATGAAGCTACAAATCAGTTTTCCTTCACCCCTGGGTCACATGGATTTCCTCTGTGCACACATGATCCCATCCCAGATCCTCCAGCTGACTGCTTCCTCTATCACTTCTATTCTCCCTTATCTTCAATCTCTCCCCACATCCTGGCAGCTTCCCTATTGCCTGCAAACATCCCCAGGTGTCCCCCAATAGCCACCCACCAACCACATATCTCTGCTCTTTGGTGACTAAACCCAAGGTCAGGTATAGTTATTTGTTTCCTCTCTTCTAAATGCTCAAATCTGGCTTCCAACTCCTAAAATTACCAAATTGCCCAATCTAATTACCTTTTCTTAATCCTCCTAATTCCTCATCTCTCTACAGCCTTTGATCTCGTCAATTACCCTCTTCTGCTAATTTCCTCCCCCCCACTGGCCATTCCTTCTCAGGCTCATCTGCTCCATCTTTATCCAGGTTAGGCCCACTCACATTAAAAGCGTCCCTCAATGATCTGTGGTGGACCCTCTTCTCCCTCTATACTATTTCACTCATTGATCTCATCAGCTCTCATGGATGTAATTCTCTCGGTTTTCATAATTGTCACTTATACAGCCCTAACATCTCTCTCAACCTCCAAGCTCTAACTACTCATCAGTCATTTCAACCTGGATGTCCTGTAGACATTTTAAACTCAACATGTCTAAAACTTAAGTCATTAACATTTCCCAACCCTCTTCCTACCTTTCACATTACTGTGAACGGTATGCTTTCAGCCACCCAGGATTACAATCCAGGTGTCCTCCTCAACTCCTCCCTCTCACTTACCTTTGAAAGTTCTCTTGAATGTATCCCTCTCTCTCCTCTAGTACAAACTCTCCAATCACCCCGCTCCTAGATTACTGCAATAGCTGCGGGGGTGAGGGTTTTTTGCCTGCCTTGTCTCTTCCTACTCCAACCCATTCTCCACTGGGCTGTTCACCTGATCTTCGTCAGTAGTTGTGACCATGTCATTGCCTTCTTCCCCATTAAATAACTCCAGTTCCCCACATGACAGCAGGAACAAATACAAAACCCTTCATAATCCACACCCTACATGCTCTGATCCACTGACAGTGGCCTCTGCCCACTTTCCCCCATGCCTGGAATTCTCTCACTCATCTCCGCCCCCTGCCTTCCCCAGCTTCCTATAAGTCCCACCTAAAATTCCTTCTCCCACAGATGTGTATGTTCCAGATACCCCTTAAAACTAGTTTCTTCTGTTGACTTATCTCCAATTTATCCAGTTTGTGTAAAGTTCCACAGTAGTTAGCACATACGTGTTTGCACGCTGCCTCCCTCACTAGTGCATGAGCTGCTTGAAGGCAGAAATTGTCTTTTGCTTTTCTCGATCTCCAATGCTTAGTACAGTAGCTGGCACAGAGTAGGTACTACGTAATAATGACTTGACTTGAAGTTGTCAACAGATGAAGGGCAGTTTAAGAGTTGTGGACCAAAAACTGGAATAATGCAATCTAGATTGCAAGTGTTGTGGTGAAACTCAAAAACAATGTGAGGATGGCTTAAAGAATACAAAGTGTTATTGGCGGTTGACACTTTGGGCAATATCGAACACCTATGGAAAACCAATGTTTACATAAACCTACCCTGTTCTGATCAATAACATCCACAATAGCCACCAGCTTGCCGGCATGTGGCCCAAAGGAAATGTAGGCCACCCGGCCAATTTCCACATAGCGCTTGAATACCTGTTTGGGGGGGGAGGGGGGAGAAAAAAAAAACATTAGGACTACTGTTAAACAAAAATATAAAGACTTAAACTAATGCAGCAGCCACTAACAAATGTCAAGTTAAGTAAAGGAGCTGGACAAGTGTGTTAAAATGATGGAGCAACAGATCTCCTACGGCCTAAAGCTCTAACCAGGGCCGGGGAGCCTAGACCAACGCTGTTCAGGCCCCTATGCATGGAGTCAAAGTTTTAAACCCAGGGCCTCTCACTTAAAACCTGTTAAGCTCTTCGTTCAGTTGGTCACTTAACTGAACTTCGTTCAGCTGGCGTCAGTTTCCCCATTTGTAAAAGGGGTAAGCCTCCCTGCACTTCCCTCCGAGGCTTTCCTTCCTCCAGGAAAGGCGATCAAGAAGCATTCCGAGGGCAGAGGAAGGAGGTCTGGGCTCGGGGTGAAGAGGACCCTCCAGCCCGCACCCCGGTGCCTTAGGCAACGCCATTAACCGCTGAGCCTCCACTTTCCTCGGAAGCCTCCGAAGCCCCTCCGTTCCAGCCCGTCCTATCGGGTTTGGAGGTGACCGCTTGCACGCTCCTCCCTTATTAGAGCGAGCTCCGGGAGGTCACGATTATCGCGACCTTTCTGGGTATCCCGACCGACACTTAGTAGCACCGGGATAAGCGCATGATCCCGGGGCCGCTGCCCGAGACCCCCTCTTCGGCCCTCTGGCAGGGCGCGGCGGTCTCCCCCCGACCCTCCGCTCTCCGCCCCAGGGTCCGCGTGGCCCGAGAGCTGAGCCAGATCGAGGCTAGGCCACCCTGGCCCCGCGCAGGCGCACCACGACCCGGCGGGGCCCCGCGCAGGCGCCCTAAGTCCCGGTCGGGGCCCCGACCCCGGCTTCCCCGCACGCGCCGGGAGCCGGGGAACGCGCCCTCGCCCCGTGGGCTCTGCCGCGGCTCCAGGCTCCCTCCCACCATCAGGTCCTCCCCGCGACCGCCTGCTGGGTTCTCGGAACCCGGCGCCCCCACGAGCGACCCCGCGGCAGGCCCTCCCGAGCCCCGAGGCCCGGAGCCCCAGCCCGCTCCTACTCACCATGTTGGCGGCGCCGAACGAGAAGGAAGGGCCTGCAGGGGACTGCGCACGTGCAGAATGCAGCTCCCGCCCCACGCCGGCGGGCGCGTACAGGAGTCGTAATAGACTCTGATTGGCTAGGCGTCTAGTTTCGACGCACGCGCACTGAGAGAAGCTCGCTTCCGACTCAGTGGGCGGGGTGAGGAAGTCTGAAACAACTCTTACGACACCTGGAAGAGCGATGACTGGGCGTGGTGCCGCGTCTGCGCGTGCGCCCAACTGTACCCGGACATTTATGCCCTCACGAGGGCAACTCCACATGACTTCAGTGGGCCTCGGAGCGTCCCAGGGTGATTCTTAGGTTCCTGTCTTGGGAAAGACCTGGAAGGGCTGGAAGAGGCCATCCAGACTTTGGGGGGGGGGGGGCGTTTCTGGCTCTGCGTCACGTGGGATCCACCAGCAAACACAGAAGCGAGCTTACGATCCAGTGGGCCCCTGGCATTAAAAAAGTGTTGATTTCATTTCAGCCTAGCTGGCCTCCTTGTAATCCTGGGCGTTTTATGTTATGCATTTAAATACTTTATTCTGAGAAAGGGTACCTAGGCTTCACCGCTAGTATGTAGTAGGTACCACATAAATGCTTGCGATTTCACGATTACCTTCTTGGGCCGGGGTGGGGAATCAGCCTCCTTCCCACAGAAAACAGAACAAAACAAAACGCAGACACTGCCCAACGTCGGAAAATGCTCAAAAGAAGTCGAAGAATCCTAGGAGAAGTAGAGTGGAAGCCCCCTGAGGGCAAGTTCAGCAGGCACTTAATAGTAGTGGAGTGACTGAGTCAGTCCAGTCTATACCCTGTTATAACATCCCTGATAAGTGTTATCAGCCTCAGAGGCTGGATTTGAATTCAGAAGGATGTCTTCCTGATTCCAGTGCTCTATCCACTTTACCACCAAGCCGCAGAAGAGCAGGAAGAGCAGAGTTCAAATCCAGACACAGACTACCTCCCAGGGTTGCTGCAAGGATCAAATGGGATCCTGTACGTAAAGTGCTTTGCAAACCTGAAAGTGCTACATAAAAGCTACTTATCGACTCCCCCAGGAGTCAGGGAGGGGCACAGACTAAATCCCGGTTCAGCCCCTGAGGTGCAGGGAGCCCAGGCTCTGCCGTGAAGAGCCTTAGCAGGGGCTTCCTCAGTTCTGTTTTCTCCTCTGCCCCTGAAGTTAAATCCAGCTGCCCAAGCTCGGGGGCATTTCACAGTTATCTGTAGATGGGAGCCAGGCAGCAAAATAATGACTAACTGGAGATAACTGGGGGCTTGTTCCAGGGCATCGACGTGGCAGGACCCATGCTTGGCCCTTTCAGCCACTGACCGGCAGCTCCTGAGGGGCCTCCTCCCCTCAAGCCCAACTCTCCAAGGTCTATGGGTCTGGTTACCTCCTTGCCAGCGTTATTGTAGCCAGACTGTCCTCAGTCTCCCGGGCACCTGCCCCACCACCGCAACTCTTTTTGCCACAGGGGACAATATTCCTAGTTGTGGCTGTAAAGTAGGCCAACTTTTGGTCAAGGAATGATCAGCATGGACAGTTTGGGAGTTAGAAGCAGCTTGAGGCAGTAGGGTATGAGAAACTCATTGTCCTAACTGGGGAGGATTCGGTCCGAATCTCACTGGCTTGAGCCCTGCAGGATGCCATTTTGTCCATCACCCTGCCTGGGGGCCACCTCCTCACCCCAGTGTGAGGCCAGCACCAGAGAAGGTCAGCGCACCACAAGGACGACTTCATCCTACAAATAACACCCGCAGCCCCAGAGCAGAGCACAGTATTCTAGGGGCGGTCTGACAAGGGCCTGGGGCACAGCTGGGCTGGCTCCCCTCCCTCCCTTTGGACCCACACGGCCCACTTCTGTGCTGAAGAACTCTGATACTCCTTTATCGGACCATTACGAGTGACGCTCCCCTTCTCCCTCTTCTTGTCCATCCTGATCTATCCTTCATCCTCCACCCCTAACCCCTCAGTTCTTTCCCAGGCTGTCGGCCCTTAAACCAGTTCAGCCTTACACTGTCCTCAAACCCCCACCATCTGCTGCCTGCTTCACTGCCTGTTGGAACATATTGTTCTCATCTGCCCGTTCTACCAGAAGCTCCACGTGCTTGGGGTAGACAGCCCACTAACTCACTGATGATTGGTTACCCTGAACCTGGTGCAGTACATCTGCCAGGACAGTTTTACCAGGTCTAGCTGATACACGTGCTGCAGTTGGGTGACGGGTAGACACCAGAGGTCACACCTGAGGTGCTGGTGCTCCCTGAACACCCCAAACACCTTTACATCTCCCTTAGGCTCCCTTCTCTCTGACCCTGCCCCTACCTGGAGCAGGCCCTCATTACCTCACTCAATAAATGCTCACTGAGTGACCGAGTGGCTGGTCGAAATAGTCCCTGCTTAAAATTCTACTGGGAGAAACATTGGGTGTAAAGAGAAAGGAAGAAAACCTAATTTGAGAAGAAGCAAGCCCTCAGATCTGTGGGATTAGGAAAGGTTTTCTGCAGTAAGGGGCACCTGCATTGTAAGTCTTGACGGGCACAGAGGATCAAAAGAGGCACAGGTGGGGAGGAAGGGCATCCCAGTCCCGGAGGACAACCTGGGTGCAGGAGATGGGGGATGGCACAAGTAGTCTAGGGGCCCGCCGGGAACCCCAGCGTGGCCAGAAGGTGGAGAAGCTGAGGCCTAGGACACAGCTCGGAAAGGCGGCTTGACTCAGACTGTGGACAGCCTTAAAGGGCAGGGGGAGGAATTTGTGTCTGGCCTTTTTTCCAGGATGCCTGGAAACCTCAGTTCGGATCGTGAGCTGCCCAAATCAGCTTGGGTTGCGACTGAATTTTGTAAATACTCAAGCTCGCGCCATATCCAGATGCTCTCCACGTGCAAGGGGCCATAGTGGTCCTCTCCGTATCTTGGCTAGCTCTTAATTAGGGTTTGCTGAACTGGACTGAACTGAGCATGAGTTACTGTGGCTGGGGCACTGCACTTGGGTCAGGTTCAAATCTTACTAGCTGGTTCCACCTGTGATTAGTCACTCCCCTGTGCCTCAGTGTCCCTCTGCTTAAAATAAGGAGGATGGGTGCAGGGCTCAGTGATCTCTAAGCCCTAATTCAAGCACACCTCCTTGCCCAAAGCCACAAAGGAAGGAAGTAGCAGAGGCAGAATTCAAACTCCAAGCCCTCTCTCTACTTGTAGTTCAGAGTTCTTTGCCCGGGTCCAAGACAGACCACGCCCAGCGTGACGCCACCACGTCGCCACGCCCCCCTTTTCAAGTGCGCCTCATCCATTCAGTCATTGAATGGGAAGGACGTTACCCAACAAACATGGCACGGCAACAGCGTTGTGACGTAAGGACGCTCGGAGGCGTGGCCTGAGAGCGCCCGCCTCCCCGCCCCGCCTCCGGGGCTCTGGAAGTGGCATCCGGTGCGCTTGCGCCGTGCGCTAAGCAGTTCCCGGGAAAGCGCCGAGGCGGGCTGTGAGGCGAGGCGGGCTGTGAGCGAGGGAGGCAAGGGCGCGGAGGTGGGACCCCGGCAGCGCTTCCTGCAGGGAGCGGGGTGCACCCATGGGAGCTGGGGGCGCGGGCCTGGGAGAGCGCAGGGCACGGGCGGAGCACGTGCTGTGTGGCGGCGGGCAAGTCGCTCACCCTCTCTGTGCCTGGGACTTCTCACCTGTAAAAGGGGGTGCCCCTCCTTCCCAATTATGGGGATGCTTTCGGTGGGATTAGGAGGGGAAGCCTCTGCCCCCCTTCTTCGCCTTTCCCTCCCTCCCTTGCTTCTCCCTTCCTCCCAAAAAAGAGGGTGTAGACAGGGTTTGGAGCTGGCAAGGACCCCAGGGGTCCATTTTACAGATGGGGAAACTGAGGCTAAGGGACTCGTCCAAGGTCATAGCTGGGGCACAACTGGAACCCAGATCCCAGATTCCAGATCTGGCGTGGGCCCCCTGGGGTTGGGTTTGACCAGGTCCCTGGCATCCTGGCCATGCCCACTACGCCCCTGGCGTCAGATAGGTGGGACCCACGGGTGAGTGTGCCTTGTTTTCTTCCCAGCGTGGGATGGAGGAGCCAGCCCTGCAGAGGAAGCAGGTGTCGGGCGCCCAGAAGAGGAAGATGTCCAGTCCGGCCCAAGAGGGGGCCCAGAAGCTGCCCAGAGCCCCCTCGTGCTCACTGGACCTGTAAGTTACCCCCGAGGGTCACCTCGGGTCATGTGGGGAGACCGAGGCCGGCTCCCCGGAGGCAGGGGGGGAGTCACGGCTCTGTTTCCTCTTTCTGTTGGCAGGCACGAGGACCCCGATGCCGAGCAGGAGATGGAGCCCAATGGCCAGGAGCAGCCCCTCAGCGGGGAGGCGCTGGACCTCTCAGTCACCACGCAGGTGCCTCTGGGAGTGGCCAGCACTGGGGCTGCCCAGGGGGCCCCTGATGGGGAAGACATCGGCCTGTTGAACCGCCAGAGCCTGACCCACAGGCAGAGGAGGGGCATCCTGGCCGGCCGGTGGCTGCCCCCCTCCAACTTCCAGTTCCCTAGGAGGCTGATGGGCTCGGGCGCCAGCCAGAAGTACCGGCGCTGCAGCGCCCAGCTCCTGCAGGACTACCCCTTTGCCCACTACTCCCGGCACCTTGACGGCGTCTTCTGCGGGCCCTGCTTTGTGTTTAACAGCAACAAGGAGGCCATCTTGGTGTCCGCCCCTTTGAAGGACTGGTCCAACAGCAAAAAGATCCTGGAGAGGCACAGCAGGTCCAAGGAGCACGGCCAGGCCGCGGTCAAGACGGAGGCCTTCGCGGCCTTGGAGCGCAAGAAGCAACTGAGTGAGCGGGGCCAGCACCCCCTGAAGCAGATGATCAAGCTCATCCTGCTCTGCGGCAGGCACGACATCACGCTGGGCCCGAGGCCCGCCGTCGCCAAGACCTTGTCCACCCTCTGTCGCTACATGGCCGAGCTGGACCCTCTGTGGAAGGAGAGCCTGAAAGGCGGCCCCTGTGCTGCCCCCGAAGCCTCAGAACACACACTGGAAGAGCTCATCAGGCTGACCGGCCTTCAGATCCAGAGCAGGGTCCTGGCCAGGGTCAAGGCGGCTGGGTTCTTCAGTCTTATCGTCGGCGGGAG